ACCCAATCATATCTATTCATTTTAGAAAACCCCAAATTCCTTTTCCCCCCACTCCACCCATTCTTTCACTCATTTACCAGTACTTTGTTTTGGGATCTGGCACGGATAAAAAGTAAAATCTGAATTTAAGCACTCCGTCCTTCTTATCTAATCTTATTGACCAAACAGCCTGTGTGATATGTTTCAAAATTCAGGGGTGGGATGGGGGGGCTTTTAGCTTGAACATTTGTTAACAAATTTAACATTTGTTAAATTAATTATTAATTATTGTTAAAAGATCAATAGTTAAAAAAAGAAAGATCTCCCCTCTGATCAGTATTTTTTTAATCCTAAAATTGCAAGCTCTATTGAAAGCCATGATAGTTAAAGAGGCCTAAAATTTGGTTCAGTTTGAAATGTTTTTGTAGCTACTTTAAGAAAAAGTCCTAACATAAAATGCAGTATCAGTGGTTCTCTTGGTCCTTTGTGACCTCTTTATGTAATTGTACTTGCCAAAGTGGAACTTCTACATAATGTGAAGGCCCTTCTAGAGCTGTACATTTTGCTGACAGTTGTAGCCAAGAAAGTTTTCCCATAAATACATCTCATGAACCATTTATGTCCTTTCCTGGAACCTTTTGTTTGGATTACTATAACACAGTCTACATGGAGTTGGTCATGAAGACCACTTGGGAAGTTCAGATGGTCCAGAATTGAGTGGTCCAAGTAGTTATGAGCACATCTCAGTATGCCCATGTGACACCTCTACCTCAGAAACTGAACTGATTTTCAGGAACAATTCAAGAAATTGTTGGTTATCATCTATAAAACCCTTTATATTGGATAGTTACAGGATTCTCTTTCTCCAACTGATTTTCTTTATCCTAGAATATTTGGTAGCGTTGGCCAGCCATAAGTCCCAATGACAAAATAATGTCATCATGTGGGACTTTGGAAGGATGTCTGTTCTGTTGCTATCTCATCCTTTGGAACAGCATTCATTTTCCACCCCATCTCTGAATATTCCTGAGCCAATCCATGCTGTCTTTTAGGAAAACTTTAATTTGGGCTGTGGAATTTGCAAAAGTGTGTCACGAATGTATTTTCATTCTTTTTTATATTTCCCAGTGGCGGGGGAGGGAAATCCAATAATTCCCTTGGGATGTTTTGGGTATTATTATTGGTTTCTGTTTGGCTTTTAATTTTTGTATTTATGTACCAATAACTAGTGCTTTCACCACAAAAGCTATCCAAGTGGCTTAATTAATAATGAAAACCAAACATTCCGCCTCTTCAGAGATGGATTGCAGAAGATAAACAAAAGGAAAGAAGCCTCTGGCAGCAGGTACACGGTTCCCAGTATAATCATGTGAGAAAAAGGAGTTCCATCCCAGAGGTGGTATTCTACCAGTTCGGTCCGGATCACCTGAACTGGTAGCGGAAATCGTGGGTGACTCTGCCCACCCGCGCCCGGCTCTATAGCATCTTATTTAGCACTCATATTTGCGAAGTGGTAGGGAAGGTAAGTATATACCATCCCTGGTTCCATCCATAGTATTAATGGCTTTCTTGTTCTTCCTTACAGAGCAGTTAGTCACTATAATTTCTGCAAGGAAGGAGAAGAGTCCTGGGTCCATTTCATTTTCTCCCAATATCACATATTTTGAAATAAACAGGAACCTTCTTGAAATAACTGGTCTAGACACCCAAGGCTAGATTAATAGATAGTACTCAGGAAATCAGTGCTGGAACAAACAACTAGGTGAAACCCCAGTGACCAGTCATATGACAAAAAGGGGGTTGAGGAGAGAATTTGTTAAACCTATGAAATCTGTGCTCCGTTTTCTAAATTCCTGTCTTCACTAAAAGCTATTTTACTGGGCCTTATATTCTTGCACCTAAAAGAGGATAAGCATTTTTTAGAAGTAATTTGGCTGAAGAATTTTTCTCATTTGGTTTTAAAGTACAGGCCTTAATTTAAAAAAAAAAAACGTTTTTAAAATTGAAAAAAAAAATTAGGACTTCCCATAAGTGGAAGGAAAGCACCTGCATACTACCCATTAATGTAGCTTGAAAAAAGATGTTTCAGTTTTAATTAATCCACTCATTAAAGTTAATAGCAAAATATGTTATCTTTATGTGAAGTTGGAAACATTTCTTACAAAATATTTTCAAAAAGTTCTTCATTTCCATTCTAACATTTTTGCAATAAAATCCAAATATTAAAATGAACATAATAAGCAATGAAAACAATTCAATGAAGTTTTGGGAAAATGGATTCATTATAAGAATGTACAACTAAAAATGTCTTCTCTTCTCTCCTGGATTCTCTCTGCGTATATTTCTCATTTCGGGAAGCTCTCTATTAGACAGTATATTATCTGGTTTTTGTAATTTGGTGGTTAAAAGAAGTTTCAAGACAATGCTTTGATTGGCAATCCCCCTCCCTTAATCAAGGACTTCTATAATAGTGCTTTGTGCAGCTCAAAAATATTTTGGAAGAAAATCTTCTGACCTAACCCAAGTACACAGTCTTCCTGTTATTCATTAAAACAGCCACATCTCTTTTTCCAGCTTCCGGGTGAAACTTCAAAAAGATTCTACTGCTTTAATAATTGCATGGAAACAAAAAGCAAGACATGGATGCTTTAATTAGTGCCAGGAAGGTGCTGTAAATGTGAAATCAAAAACATTTCTTTTTAATATTTTTTTAGAGAATGTGCAGGTGTGATTTATAGCAATCCAGGTATTGTTCACCCTTTCATTTCTTTCATTTCATCTTTCATTTCCAAGGAAAATTCACTACAAAGGGGAAGACTAAATCATTGCCCAGCACTCTTGGATAGTATAAGCAACTTTTCATCTGAGACTAATGAAGAGATCCCAAGAGGCTGATTTAAGAATTAAGAAGTCCTTGGTTCAAATTGATTTTGATTTGATTTGTATACCAACCCAACTCTCCAAAGCAATTCTAGGTGACTTACAATTCAGTGGAAGCATTAAAAAGAGGGGAAAAAAGCATGAGATGCAAAACACAACAAAAGAAGACAATGATGCAATAATAAAATAAAAAGAATAATAAAAAAGCCAAAATAAGAGGGTAATAGAATTAAAGGCCATCATTGTATGAAACATGGGTGTCATTCTCCAGAATAATCATCAATTGTACTATTAGTAATTCACAGTATATGATGATCAAAGATGGGATGGGAGGGGATGGTTGATAAAAGAATAAATTAACCACTTTTATTTTACACACATCTTTTTATCCATTGCAAATGGCTGTGTGAATTATTACAACTTTTGATGTTCTGCTCATTTATATGCAAGTCAGGTATTGGCTGACTGAGAATGTCCCACAAGCTCTAGCCACCTTTTAATATTCCTTTAGCACAAAAATCCTGTTGTAGTTTAGATTAAGGGAGCCTAATTTCCCTCCAATCTGGGTACTTTCCAAATGCATGCATTGGGGGGGGGGGGTTTCAGAATTATCTTACTTCTCCTGGAACTCAATAATAAGAGATGATCCAGACAGAAGACACCCAGATTTGGAAAAGCTGCCATTGGGAGATGCAGGTTGGCAAGTTGTACTATTATCAAAAAGGAATGTGAAGCCTGCGCAGTCTTGGGAGTTTTGCAGCTTTATCTTAAACAGCTACGTAGTACAAATGACATTTATGGAGCTGAGTGAAGCAATTTTGATTTGTTGGTAATTTAAAGAGAAAGGAAAGGTTTTTCTTATTCTTATTTACTTTGCAGTTTTATTAAAGCTGTGGGAATCCCATGAGCTTTCCCCCCCCCTTTAGGTATCTTTCCTGATCCCTTTTTCACTAAAGGTCATTTTCCTTGAATCTTTTGAGAGGCCTATTAGGGCAACCTAAGTTTTTTTAAAAAAATCTGACCATAGATGTTGCTTTGTAAAAAATTCCTAGCTTTGAGATTTAGTATTTTTTTAAAAAAATGTTAATCCCAAGTACATGAAACTTCCTGTGGAAATGTAGTTCTAGTGATCCTTTGCAGGATTTCCACACAATTGCTCTCGTGTAGCAACACTGTCCCTTGGAAGTCAAACGGCAAATATTAAACAGCCTTGCTAGCCTCACAGCAACTCCTAGTTGTCATTCAAAGAGCCAGAAAATAGCTGTTTGCAAGCTGTGTGTGTCTGGAGCTCCAGATTCATACATACATGCCTGACCCCTTTATGAGTGGCAGTGTGGATTGCCCCTGCTTCTCTCTCCCCACCAAGTTGGCTAGTAACCCATAAATGTCCTGCACCCTTCTGATTCAGCAGAATTCCACAGGGGTGCTTATTAACACAGGGGGGAAGGGGGAAAGGGCTCTGTAATTGTTAAGACATGAATTTAGGCAAAAGGCAAATGGGATTTGATGGTGTGGAAAGACAATCCCTGTTTACTAAAGTCTGACAAAATACAGGCTTGGGAGGGAGGGGGGTATCATCTCCTTTTGGAAATAGCCAAAAAGCAAATATATCCTCAGGTCATGGAAAAGGGGCAGGAACAAAATATTGACTTTACAGGGGGAGGGAAAAATCATCCTTTAAAACACATGCACACCATTTAAACGTAGATGGCTAGATTCAGCCCAAGATCTTAAAAGAGCAAGCTGGTTGAAAATTTTGCTTGACAGCTTTTGGTGTCATTTTTTGCTGTGGTGAGCAAGTCATGCAGTAAACTATTTTCTGTTAATTTTTTCATCTGAGATAACCTGGCCAAGAAATGATTAGCACACAAGTAAGTTTGCCCTAATCTGAAGAGAAGAGGAAGGGATGAAAAGTGAGAAAGCTGTACTGAAGTTATCTGTTAACTACATCAAGTGCCAGCGATTGGAAGAGTTCGTTCTTCCTATCTCTTTGGCTTTCAGTACCCTGCCCCTTTCACATTGTCTTGTCTTTTTTAATCTTAAGGTATGGCCCAAAATGACTACTTCAAGCACAATAGTTGTTTTCATCTTTTTTTCCTTTGAAATAGTGCTGGGAAAGCAGGCGTCGGGGATCTTCCTACCTGCTTTGTTACTGGCAATCAGAAGGAATCCTCTTCCCCAACGCTTGACTTTGAAGTCACACAAGTAGCCAGAATCCATTCTTTCAAAGTGCACAGCAGTTCAGGCCGAGACAAGGTGATTTGCAATCTACCCAGCAGTTCCAAACACTGAATGTCAGAGCTTGGGGAAAAGCATAACTAGGTTGTCACTTGGAATGGAGTTTGGTCAGTGGTCGGAGATCTATATTCTCAGATAGGTAGGACTTTGTCCACAAACTGGAATTTGAAATTTCATCGGGGGGGTGGGAAAAAGCAGAAGGGATGGTTTGAGAGATGATTGTGCTGGCGTGGATGGCCCTGGGACTTTAGCTCTCAGTCTTGTAACACAGGACTGTGACCCAACGGGCTCACCTATCGTGAGGCCTGGGAAATGGAACAGGAATAGGCTGCTACGGTGTTCTGTCTATTGAGAATTACGACAGGACGTGCACTCATCTCTATGAAAAGAAGAAATCCAACTGATTTTAAAGCAAGGGAGGCCTCACGGTAAGCCATACTTTTAGGCATAGAAAGTGGCTGCCAGCAGCAGGGGAGATGTTGGAAGATAAGTTGGATATGCCTTAATACCTGAACCTCCAAATTAGTTTGTTGCCTTCAGATACAGGGGGGGGGGGGGATTCTCTGGACATGCCTTACAATTAAGACAGGATAAACCAGCTGCTTCAGTTAGCAAACCTGCATGGATGGCTACTACTTCATTACACCTAAGCATGCAGCTTTTGAAGACTGGCTTTTACTTGTCCAGGCCCTGTATTTGCAACCCAAAGGGTTCCTCAGAGCATGGTGGGATTGTAAGACCATCTACTGCCCTAGGCTGCTTCTACATCTGCTTCTCTCTATGTTGCTTTGAGGCTCCCCAGCAGAGAGTTTGTGGGGAATTGGAGAGATCATGGCAGGGCACTTTGGTGCCGGGGCTAGCAAAGGAAGTAGGAAAATCGAAAGGGCCAGGAGGTGGCTGTGTGTTCTTCCGTGAGACCCAAGCAAGACAGCAGAGACATGTTTTTAAACCTTTCCAAAAGGACAAGGAGAGTTGGGGCCTGCCCTATTTCTTGGTGGGAAATGTTCCCAAAGGGTAGGGGCAATCATGGCAGGCTAATACTCTTCCCTATTAGAAACAACTCTGCAATTGAGTCCGCATTTGTCTTTTAGATATTTTTACATTGTGCTTTGAAGACTGTACAGTTTTCCAATTTTTCAGGCACATATTTCCCGCATTTAAAACAGAATAATCCATTGCAATAACTGAACAATGTTCTCTTCCATAATACAGAAGTAGGGAACTGGCTCTTGCCAAAAGATTACCTGAAGACAACTAATCTTTAAGATTTTAATTTCAGCCACCAGCAATACATCTGAGTCATCTTCAGTAGAGGTGAAAGACTTTATGATTCATTGTCAGTTTCCAAGCATTTAATCCTTCGGTTCCCCTTAAGAAACTCCCCCACCTTACTAGCCTTGTACATACACCTTTTGATTGCTATTTCTAGCAACCTTAATCCTGTCAGACCTTGTAGGAGAGGAAACTTTTTTTTGTGATGGGGTCTTACCTAGTTAGGAGCTTGTTTGACTTAAGGCATGTTTTGCTAAACTGAGCAAAACAAGCTGGGTTTATGATATTATACTAGACACTATAGTAAATCCTGTGCATGTTTAACTTGATGTCTGTACACATTTATCTAATCGTAAGGATCATCCTATCCAAGTTTGGTTTGGCATGAAAGATTTCTCAGTGGGGCTGTTGTTGAGTCTCTTTCTCTACCTTTCTGACCCTCTTATATGAATTATTGGCTCAGTAATTTCTAGTTGAAGAGGAAAGATTAAGATATGTTCTTTCAAGCAGTAACCATGACATATTTAATGGTCACATTCCAGAAGCCTATTCCATTCTATTATATTACTTGAGAGACCGCCTGCTGTCAATTACCTCCAACAGACCTATTAGATCCCACAGACTAGGCTTCCTCCGAATCCCATCTATCGGCCAATGCCGATTGTCTACCATCCGGAGGAGGGCCTTCTCTGTGGCTGCTCCAGCTCTCTGGAATGAGCTCCCCGTGGAGATTTGGACCCTCACCACCCTTCAGGCTTTCCACAAAGCCCTTAAAACCTGGATGTTCCGACAGGCCTGGGGCTGACAAGTTCCCGTCCCCACTCGAATTGTGTGGCTGTTGATTGTTTTTAAATTCTTTCTGTAGTTGCTTCTTTGTTGTTTTTCCTCTTGTCTGTATCCCCTACCTTTGGTTTGTGAGCCGCCCTGAGTCCCTCCGGGAATAGGGCGGCATATAAGTGCAATAAAATCAAATCAAAATCAAATCATTTCCTCAGAGAAGCTCAAGTCTGAGATGTGGAAGCTAGTGGTCTTCCTCTCAATTCAACAGTGAACTAGCTGGAACATGGGTGTCAAGCTCGTATCGTCACGGTGATGCCATGTTTTGTATCGGGACTTCCCCCCCTTTGCTAAATTGGGTGGGGGCGGGGCTAGCACCCAGCACCTGGCCCACAGGCTGCAGGTTTGACACCCCTGATCTGGAACAACCAAATTGTCAGTCATTAATATGTCACATAATATGACATATCTGAAGAGCAATAATACGCAAAAGCTATTGACTTCATGCACATATCTTGTTTATGGGTTTTTAGAGGAATGTAGCTCCTGGAAGAAAATGGAATATTGTTCATTGGGAATCTTATGAGTTCAGGCTAAAGATCTATAGCAAGAATAGAGAACTTTTGTCTATCCAGTTATTGCTGAATTGTAACTTCTAGTATCTCACCATTGCTGGTTTTATGGCTTGATGAGAATTAAAATTCAGCAATTAGAAGTTTTTCATCATAGATTTAATCTGGGTTATAGTGTGCAATGCATGGTTTGTTGCACACTCACCCAGATGTTCACATTGGATTTGGCATTTTTGTCTACTTATCAAGTCTTTTTCAAAGACCTGGGAAAGGCAGATATGGATGTTTGATGGTATCACAGTTATTGTTGCAGGATGTAAGCAGTTCTTAGTAAAGCTGACTTTTGCAATTGACTAGTGTGCAATGCATTACTATTATTATTATTTACATTTTTATCATGCTATTCCAGTAGGTGATCAAGGTGGCTTCCATGGGGATCTCTCTGCACTTTATTCCCACAAGAAGAGCCCCATGAATTAGAGTTGGGCTGAGAGAGAATGACTGGCCCAAAGTTATATAGTGAGTGCCATGATTAAGGTAGACTTGAACCTCGTAGTGTTTGGTCCCGGAGAGTTGATTGAGTTTAAATTAAAAGAGTGTAATTAGTCCAAAGTCACCAAGTGAGTTTTCATGGCTGAGAATAGACTTGAACCTGGCTTCCTTGGGTGGTCATTTAACATCTTATCTACTGTGCCATAACATCTCTATGTTTGTATGATGTGAGTGTGGAAAGTGTTCCTTAGGCCACAAATTGGGATGCAGAAGATAGATGCATGTTGCTTATAAAAACAGAGGAAATCATATCTGGTGGATTGTTATACAGGGATTATGATGTAGACTAACCACTGACTAAAAGTATTAAGATCTGGTTTATTTATGTTCTATCCATTGGAAAGTCTGCTATAGAGGATTCTTACCAGGGCATGCTTGCAAAGCATTCTGGGAGACATTATGAAGTGAGAGCAGAGCCAAGAGAAAACTATCCGCATGTCCCAATGTTGCAAAGAAAATGAAAAGCCACACCTTTGCTTTATGTCGAACATTAGATAGAGAAACATAAAATTATTGGCCCAGCAGCACCTGTGGAGGGGCAATGGGTGAGTCCAAGGCAGTGTTTCTCAATTTTAGCAATTTTAAGATGTCTGGATTTCAACCCCATGGAGTCCATGCATCTTAAAGTTGTTGAGATTGAGAAATGCTGGTCTAAGGAAAGTGGTGCCACAACACAACCTTTTTCTAAGTAATATCACAGACATGCTCAAAAGGGTGGAGTTGGTGCCACAACAGTGTTTTCTTACTTTTGATAGAAGAAGGGAAACCATGGGATTCCGTGGATGCTTCAATATTTGACCAGGTCTTAATATGGGCTAATATGAAGACAGTCAGCTCCAGAGCAGGAGTGGTACAAAATAGATGCTCATAGCAGTGGTAGGATTCAATTTTTTTTACTACCGGTTCTGTGGGCGTGGCTTGTTGGGCATGGCAGGGGAAGGATACTGTAAAATCTCAATTCCCTCCCACTCCAGGGGAAGATTACTGCAAAATCCCCATTTGCTCCGATCAGCTGGAACTCAGGAGGCAGAGAATAGATGGGGGCGGGATCAGTCAGTGGGGTTTTTTACCGGTTCTTTGAACTACTCAAAATTTCCACTATCAGCTCTCTAGAATTGGCCAGAACCTGCTGAATACCATCTCTGGATCTTCTACCTATTTTGATGGCCAAAATCAGCCCCAGCTGTAAGTGCTGGGTGTTAGAAGTAGAGGTGGTTTTCTCAATATTGTAGTTATATTTCTTAGTCTTATATCACATATATAGGTGTCACACTTCTCCCAATTTTTCTCACAACAATTCCATTAGAAAAGCATTGGCACCACAGATGTGAATTAAGTAATGCATTGTGAGATGCCTCCTGTCTCCAATGCCAGTTTGAAAGATGAGCATGTATTTCTTTGCTTTCCTCTGCATTTGCAAGAGCACATGAGTCTTGATTTCCTGGCCACTTGTCCCACTTCTGATATTACACTGTCTCTTCCTTCAACATTTCTTCTTCCTTTTATTATATTATATTTATTATATATTATATTATGTAACGTTATCTAGAGTAGGCTGCCTCTGTCTGTCATGTAGTACTTTTTGCAACCAAGTTGGCCATTGAATGGTCAGAGAGTACCCACTGAGATTTATATTAGACATTAAATCATGAAAAACAGTTCAAACTGCCTGCAGAAATTTTAATGTACTATCTGCAGTTTAAATCTTAAGGGTTGCAAAAGATAAGGTGTTTTCATTACGAAAAGAACAGGACATAATCATTAATTATTATTGGTTCTTTGGTGCAATTCAGCTGATATTCAATATGATAACATTGATTTACTGTTATTAATCTGGTTATACTCAATATAATTTATAGTACCATAAAACCCCTCCTCAGGCACAGTAAGCCACAGGCTCTAAAATCTGTAGCTGTAGGAATACTCA